AGTGCCTCTTGTGAGCAAATTAATAGCATTAAAGCAGCTATCAACATGCTGCTGCAGAAATGCTTCCTACTGCCCAACTGCACATGGTTATCACTAACATGAGTCCTCACAGTCATAATCATAGAAAATGAATATCAATTCATATTTTAAAACTCTAGACAGAAACCGTTAACAATTTATTTTTTCCCAAAGAAGAAGCTAATTAAAATTGTAAATAACACTGTTATGCTTGTATGTACTTCTGTGAGTGTCTTTTTCTTGAGTGACTGGAGCATAGATGGCTACATAATGGTTCTATTGCACATTACAACCCAACTCTACTTCCATCTGCCCACACTCCCATCAGAGGAGGAGGCCCCACTCAGGGGTAGGAGAATTTGTAAGAAAGGCTTTCACAGCAGAAGACAGATCAGGAAACAGGAGGGCCCCAGAGAGCTCAGGAAATCTGGCTTTATGGGGCACTATAAGAAGCCAGAGAATATTTATCTACTGGGTTTAGTAGGTAGGTTACTACTGTTATTATTGGAGATGAGAAAAGTATAATAGGATTCCCCAGTTGAAATTACAAAAAAAAAAAAAAAAACCTTGCTATAACAAAAAGGCTAAGATCAAGCATTTTTAAGCATTTTCTTTCAGAGTTGCTCATGGACCAGTGAGGTCCATGTAATGCCAGTGAGGCATTACTCCCATGTTAGTAATATTCCACGTTAGTAACTGATCGCCTTTATTAGTACCAATTCATAGATAAAATCTAGGAAATTTCTGACTTTTTTTCCATAATTTGCTGATATGCAATTATTTCTCAGTAATGGTCACCTCAGCCAGAGTTGGGTCTTTAACTGGTATATAAAACTAGACATGAAAACAAAACTTAAAAAATACATAAATTATAACTAGATCATTTTCATTTACCAAATGATATACATAGGACTTCCTTAAATTATAAAGAAGAATTGGTACTTCATAGAGTTAATTAATGAGTTTCCCTGGTGGCTTAGATGGTAATAAATCTGCCTGCAATGCAGGAGACCCAGGTTCATTCCCTGGATGGGGAAGATCCCCTGGAGGAGGGAATGGCAATCCACACCAGTATTCTTGCCTGGAGAATCCCATGGACAGAGGAGCCTGATGGACTACAGTCCATAGGGTCACACAGAGTCAGGCACAACTGAAGCAAGTTAGCACAGCAGTTAACTCACAGACCAATAATTGCTAGCAATTAATGAACAATAAGTCAATACTAATTATTAATTGAAAAGGTACCTGACCTCCCCTTATTTAAATGGAGCCCCTTTTGTTATTCTCCATCACAGCAGCTCTTCTCTTCCAACACAAGACTTACTGATTTATGATTATATATTTACTTATGAGATTATATAATATCATCCATTTCCCCATTGGAACCTCAGTTGGGGAGACCGTCTCTCTTTTATTCACCACTATATGCTCAACATCCGGTACAATGTCCGATCCTTAATTATTTCTGGAAATGAATGAAGAAAGAAGTCATGAGGTTTGTGGGATCTTAAATTGGGGAGGATGATCAATAGAATTTAGGATTCCCTTGAACCCCCTAAAAATATTAATATCTTTAAAACGTTGTCTACATACATTTCTCTGCAGAGAAGACTCACAATTTTCATTAGATTTCAAAGGGACTTGTGACCGTGCAGAAAGGTAAGGGATCACTGGCCTATTTCAGTAGTAAACACTAAAGTCTGTAGATCATCCTCCCCAATTTAAGATCTCAAGAACCTCATGACTTCTTTCTTCATTCATTCCACAAATAATTAAGGATTAGATGTTGTGCTGGATGTTGGGTATACAGTGGTGAACAAAAGAGAGATGGTCTGTTCCACAGAGGTTCCAGTGGAGAGACAGATGACATGATAAGGATTCAGTAGCAAACAACTCACCTGTAGCCTGAAACAAAGTATGCTACATGTACCTTTAGGTGGACAAATGTGTGGCATATGTGTAGGTTCTGTTCCAAGAACCAAAATGTAAATGCCTCAGTGAATTTACAAAACAATTCACATTCCCACTTCCCCAGAGTAACTGATCACCTACAGTCACTGGGCTCCATCAGTAGCTGCTTAAATTCATGTTTCTTGGCAGTAACATCCATCACTCAGGCCAGAGAAAGGGTGTCTGTAATACCCTTCTTTTACCTGCTTGGGATGATGACATCCATTTGGGGGAAGTTCCTTTTAATAACAAACCTGTAAACCTCCCAGTTAACAAAGACACTGGGCTCTGTCTATAATGCACTGGTTTGGGCAATTTGATCAAACAACACTGGGGTTTCCCTTCCCTCCACCTTCCTGCAGCTGGAAAGGAAAGCTAGCATAATCAGGCTAAATGGGCCTCTGAGTGCTGCAGGTACTCATGGCAGTGGGAGATTCAGAGATGGGCTGGAACATATTAATTGGCTATTGTATATTAAAATTCCTCTTCCTCTCTCCCAGCTCTAGAAGCTTCCCTTCAGTAAAATTCTTCCCTCACTTTGATTTTTTTTGTCCTAAAATGGAAACATCAAAGGTAAATTTGTCAGAGGAAAGAGTTTTTGATGTGTTATTAACTCTCAGTTATCCATCTTAACAGAGAAGAGCAGTGATGCAGATAATTCAAAGCCAAAGGCTCTTTCTATTTAACTTTGTAGTTCATTGTTTTGAGGGGCTTGGTAGCAGACTTACCTCTCTAATTATGTTTGTCTTTGCTTCTTATTAAAATGAGTTTGTCTGCCTTAGGGCCAGGCAGTTAGGTGACATGAAGATTCTGGTACAGAATTTGTAAAATTCACCAGGGAAAATCCACAAGGCACACAGCTAATCAAACCTGACTAGATTTGAGTTCACATTCTTAATCACCTGTGATCAATTGCTTTGCTTCTCTGTGACTAAAGCAAACCTGAGATGAGACATAATTATAGAAGGGAATAAGTCTCTACATTTAGATGAAGACAAGACTGCTGTGGCCAAAATTGATAACATAGTCAATATTGATGTCTTCCCTGCCTGGTCCCACAGACTTCTATTCTGCAGCCAGAAGTACCTTCCCATGCAAATCCCATGCTGTTCATCTGTACCTGATATCCTGCAGTGACTCCCTTTGCTAACCATTAGGGTTATTCAAAGTACCCACTCTCTCTTCCCCAATATGTGGAGGTAAGACTACATATCTCCACACATGAAGTTAGATGTGGCTGTGTGACTGGTGTTGGGTAGTAAAATGTGCCACTTCTAGGTGGAAGCTTTCAGAGCTAATGTGTGCCTGCAGGCTTGCTTTGTCTAGTGAGGCACTGGCTGCATCTGAGACAGTGGCTGCTCCCTCAGCCTTGGATCCCTGAGTGACTGTGATGAGCAGAACCCCCAGCAGCCAGTGATGGGCACATGGTAGGAACAAGAAATAAACCCCTATTGCTTAAATCATTGAGACTGTAAGGTTCTTAGTCACTCAGCATCTGTTGTTGTTTAGTTGCTAAGTCATGTCCAACTCTCTTGCAACACCATGGACTGTAGCCTGCCAGGCTCCTCTGTCCATGAGATTTCCCAGGCAAGAATACTGGAGAGGGTTGCCATTTCCTTCTCAGGGGATCTTCCCCACCCAGGAATCGAACCTGCATCTCCTGCATTGACGGGCAGATTGCTTATCACTGAGCCACCAGGGAAGCCCATACGGCAACTCTATCGCAGCACATATCAAACTGCACCATGACTGTCTGATTTATCTCCCTTATCAGACACTGAAAACTTGAGGCCAGAATTATTTCTTCTTCAATACATTAAGTCCAGTGTATAACATAGTTAACTCCTTAGAAAATGAAGTGGTCTTCCTGCCTGGCCTCTGTGATCCTCTGTGTTTATGTTTTTCTAACACTTGCCCTCCTCCTATCATCACCGGTTGAAATGATAAGGTGTCTTTGGCATTCAGATATATGGGGAATAGCTGAGATATTCTTTTGGACCAGCAGTACAAGTAGGAAGAGCTGGCAGAGGGGAGAGAGAGAGATGTTAAGGCATACTTAGGCTGCAGGCATTTCAAATACAAAGGGTTCAAGAGGCAGACAAGATTTCAAAGTCTTGGGGTGACCACATGGAAAAACATGTATGACAAAGTGTTAGTTTTTCAAAGAATCACAGGTATTATCTGGACTAGACTCCTATATCATCAGCATCATTAATATCATAATACCAATACTTATCGATAATGGACTAAGTACCAGGCACATCGCCAGCCACCTTACAATTAATTCACTAAATCCTCCCAACCACTGTATAAAGTAGCTATTATTATTCTGATTTTATAGATGAAGAAATTGAAGCACAGAGAAGTAAATTTCCTATGACCACAACCAGCAAGTATCCCTCTCTGTTTGAATTCAGCATCTGCTGAACTCTTCCCATCACGGGGGCTCTAACTTCCAATACAAGCCAACTCCCGAGCCACATTCTGCCTCCTGCTCGAACTGTGGTCCCCTGGACAGTTCCCCTGGACCAACAGGAAACAATTCCACCTCTTCTCTCCAAGGCAGCCCTTCACATGCCTGAAGGCAGCAGCTGTAACGCCCTGCCAGGCTCCTCTTCTCTAGTCCAAAGGCCCATTTACTCACTGGTTTCCAGTGTGCCACAGACTGAGGCCCCTCTCCATCCCAGCTCAGTGACTCACACAGGCCAGTCAGTGGGGTCAGCGGAGCAGAAAGGGGCACTCTCCCTTCTAGTACAGCACAGGGCCGATAGCTTCTGCAACCCCAGCATATTCCTCTCACCACGTAAAACAGGGTTCAGAGGCAGAAACGGGGCCATAATCTGCTGCAGGAATAGCCAACTCACTGCATGCTCTGCACACATCCCCATGCTAGCAAATGGAATGCTAAAAGGGGCTTCATGTTCAGAGTTTCTCCTTCCTACTCAGGTTGGAAGTCTGTTTCTACCCTCTGTACCCCAAGCCCTTTCCCCCTCAAAATTCTCTTGCCCCAAGAAAACAGGTCCTGCACTCACCATGGAGTTCATGGCAAAGTGATTGTGCTGTGTCTGGAGGTCTAGGGCATGCTGGTAGCTGACTCCAATCTCTGTATGGCTCTGGAGGAATAACTCCTTGTTGTGGCTTATCCAGTCAAACATCTGGAAGTGGAAAAGAAGACACAGATAATGGTTATGAGTTCAATAGCAAAAAACTTTACGAGCTACTGGAAGAAAACCAGCCCTTCTGCTGGTGCCTAGTGAGGACCAGACATTGTGCTCAGGGTTGGGGTGCCCACAGTCTGGCTTCCCAGGAGAGCCCTCCTTAGAAGAAGGCCCCACCATGAGCCTTGATGCTTCCTTACAAAGTCTAGAAGAAAAAGAGAAAATGAGTAAGAGGACCAGGGAGAGTTAGGAGAATGCTGTTTACTATCAGCTTCTTCTTTTAAAACCTTTAGAAACCTTTACTTCCCCTTTTAAAAACTTTTCAAAGTCATCAAAAGAAACCCATACATGCTTTAGGGACAGGACAGGTGGGAGGTTTCATGTATCCCCTACTGCACCAGCAGAAGAGACCCTTGTTTGAAACCACAGAGCATCCTAATATACTCCCATCCCATTTACACTGCCTGACCACACACATCGTTGAATTGACTCTGAATGGAATCAACTTTTCTTTTGATTCCACATCCTCACAATTCCAAGGTTTCTGCTATAAGCCATGAGGAATTGAGGAATCAGAAGAGGAAGATTTTAAGGGTAGGGTAAACACTGCCTGGCACAGTGGGCACTGAGCCATTTTCCTCCCCCAGCTCTGTACCTGGTTTTCATTTAGGTTTCTACCTCCTTCCCAGGTTGCCCATTCACTTTTAGGGGAGCTGATCAGAACCTCAGTTCCAAGGAAAAGCCTGGTCACTTTAAGGGTTATCGCTTCTCAGGACACCAGATCTAAGCTAATCAGTGTATGGCATTTCCTGACTGATGGGATTATTTTAGAAACGTCCAACTCTCTGTGACCCCATGAACTGTAGCCCGCCAGGCTTCTCTGTCCATGGAATACTCCAGGCAAGTATACTGTAGGAGGTAGCTGTTCCCTTCTCCAGGGAACCTTCCTGACCTAGGGATTGAACCTAGGTCTCCTGCATTACAGGCAGATTCTTTACTGTCTGAGCCACCAGGGAAACTGGTAAGAAACAGGAATGCTATTCAATTCAGTACAATAAAACACGAAGGGAAGTTTGCTGGAAGCTTCTGGGAAAAAAGAACTGCAGTGCTATAGATACAACTTCTCTTCCTCCAATACTGTTATTGTGACCCTGCACCTCAAATTGCTGAATTGTCACAATTCTGGTGGCAGCCTGAGGGAGACATCAATGGGCAGAGAAAGGGTGTAGCCAAAATAATGGAAAGAATCAGGCAGAGCTCTGCTTGAACCTTGCCTGATCACCACCTTCTAACTGGACTTCCTTAGTACCTGAGCCAATAAATCCTCTCTATTACTCAAACTAATTTAAGTTGGATTTTCTGTAATTTTCTGCCTAGAGTAGTCAACTGATATAGCCAGGAAAGATGTTAAACCTTTGGAGAAGAGGACTGCTACACTTGGAACTCACGCTCAGTAGCTTGGGATGAGCTAAAGATGAGCTCAGTTGCAGAGAAGATGAGGGAAGAACTGAGCAGAGATGCAAGCTGAGATGCTGCAAAATTCACGCTAGCTTTCCTTGAGGCAGAACCACAGCCTCATTCCATTTTCCTCCTTTAAACAGACAAATGAATTTACTTTTTCAGTTACATTTACCCAACATTTATCGAACATTCATTATATGCCCGGCACTGTTCAAGGCAAAAATGATTAATATGTGCTTCTTGAGTTTAAGTGGCTTAAAAGCCATTGTGAAAAGCAAACATGGACTCAGATACAATGTTAGTATAACTTGGCATATGACAATTAAGATCACAATTTGAAAAGAAATCTATCAAGATAAAGGTCAAGATAGTGGATCAAGATAGCAGCCACTCTTGGTGGTGTGGAGACAGGAAAGAGCACAGAAGGCTTCCCAGAGTTGGTCACACCTGAGTTGGCCTTGACTCAGGTAGGAATTAGCCAGGGGAAGATGAAGCTCCATACAAAGGGGAGATCAAAGGGGCAGAACTGTGGGGCAGCCCAGTGTGCTAAGGGCTCTGAAATCACCACTTTTGTGCTTCTGGACCTGATGTAAGAAGAACATGTGGCTGAGGAGGTAGGTGGGACCATGAAGAGCTCTGGACACTGGCTTTAGGAAACCTGGACTATATTCTGTGGGCAGCAAGGCATCAGTGGAAGGTTGTAAGCTGGGCAGTGACATTCGACGTGCGCTTTGAGAGCAGTGTGGGATGGGAGACTGGAGGGTAGAGATGGAGCACTGAAAAAGGTTAGGAGGCTGGTACAGTAACCCTGGGAAGCAAGAGGGATAACCTGGGAACCTGAATGGGGGGTGGCAGTGCAGTGTGAGAAGTGGGCAGAGTGACAGCTACTAGCAAGGGACTGAGGACTCCCAACTGTTTAGGAAGTGGGGGTGAGGGAGAGAAAGGGAGAAGAGTCAGGCATCCGGCACAGCACTCTGGGTCCTTGTAAAAGAAGATGCCACCATGGTACTACCTCAAGAGGAGGGTGAGAAGCTGGGGTGAGGGAGGAGAGACTGTGGTTCCATTTTAGATGCTGAGTTTTAGATGCTTAGGTGAACTTCAAGGGAAGGTGTCCTGTGGGCAGTTAAGAGTTTTGTCTGGAGGTCAGGAGAGAGACATCGAGGCTATGACAACCCACACATAAGCATAAACAAGCATCGAAACATGTATATTATCTATAGTGAAACAGATCACCAGCCCAGGTTGGATGCATGAGACAAGTGCTCGGGCCTGGTACACTGGGAAGACCCAGAGGGATCGGGTGGAGAGGGAGGTGGGAGGGGGGACCGGGATGGGGAATACATGTAAATCCATGGCTAATTCATTTCAATGTATGACAAAAACCACTGCAATGTTGTAAAGTAATTAGCCCCCAACTAATAAAAATAAATGGAAAAAAAAAAAAAGCACAAACAAACCACCTCCCCAAGGCAAATGGGCATGCTTTGATTTAGGAGGATCCCCCCTTTTGAATTACCCAGATCACTCTCTGCTACCTACACAGATAAAGGGCGAAAGTAGCATCTTCACTTCCGACTGTCCATGGATGTCCCAGGTTAGGGGAGCCTGTGGAGGCTGGCTGGTATTGGTGGTGTGCAACACCCTGGGTCTGCCGGCCATAGCCAATCCCGCACCAATGGCACGTGGCTGGGGTTTCTTAAAATTATTACTAAGAACAAGAGGGGAAGAAGACAAGCACCCCTGGAGACTAAAGGAATTTCATTGTGTAATTTTTGTTCTTTAAAATTCTACCTCTCAACCTCATTTTAAAATAATTTCTATCTCTTTTCCTTGTTGATGAAAGAAACAATAAAATTAATGAAAATCTGAAATGCTTGAAGTCCTTAGAACTTGGGATGAACTCACTCCTTATATTTTCTTGGCTATCCTAGTGGCCTGGAAGTGACCTTCCCTGTATTTTCTGCTAAATGACTATTTAGATATGCTAATAAACAGAGAGTTATGTGCTAGCATCAGAATTATTAGATTGCCTGGCGCCAGGTCCCTGCTGGACTACAGAGCAAGGAGAGCTGAGCATGGGCCAATTAGGGAGGAAAAGCAGGGACAACAGTGAGTTAAATGGCAGGTGAGAATAGAAAGTGCTGAAGGAAGTGCACACCTCACTGAGTGGACTTATTACATGATGAGGTCTGTGCCCAAGCCATTTTGCCCCATCTGCCTTCCATAGTGGGGCACATGAGCAGTCTCTGGGGGCTGAACTTTTTTCGGGAACTGCAGCTGTGCTGGAGGCTAGATGCAGTGCTCCAAAGATGTGACACTCATCTCATGCAGCAAGAAAACCTGCTCTAGAGGCCAAATAGTCTACATGATAGCAGGAACCAGGGTTTCTCCAATGTGGCTGTTTTCTAGGGACAGTCTCAAGTCTTCTCTGGGCCTGAATCTGCTAATTATATATAACCCTCACCTTTTTGAACTTGGCTGCCTGCAAGGATCATCAGCATTTCTGCTGCATTCAGTGGAACCGGCAGCAGAGATTATGTGTGTGTGCATGTACGCTCCCAGGTGGGTGTGCAGTTAAGCAGGATGAGGACAAGACTGGGTCTGGGCCTGGCTCTGTCACTAACTACCCATGAGACTGTGGGAAAGTCTCTTCATTTCTGTGCTTCTCTTCACTTGTAAGGGATAAGTAGTACCCAGGATGGAAGTAAGCATCCTGGCTTACAATTGGCTCAATTGGGAAACTTATGCAAAGTATTTTTTTCCATTCAAAATAAAAATTAGTCTTATTGAGTCTCGTGGATCAGAACACATATTCATTGTTACAATGTACACTTCTAACTTTTGATTACAAAGAATGCGTGTGAGAAAACTGGCATTGTTTTTGACAGCCAGAAAAAGGCAGCATCTTAATCTTAGCCCTGATATCTAGACATTTAGAGTTCAAAATGTCCATATGCACACATCATCTCACTGCCTCCATCAGGCCCAATTTACAGATGGCAAACAGGTTCAGAGAAGTGAAGCCCACCCAATGGGCTTTTATTCATTTCACCCAAGGCACATTCACTGAGTGTCTGCTGATCCAGGCTCGAGGGATACTGCCCTGCCTCTTGTGACTATAGGACCTCCTCTGCCAGGCTCCCTGGAGCAGTTGCCCCTCAAAAGGCAGCCACCAGGGCACTATGAGGCTCCAGCTGTGGTAGGACACCATCCCTCACAGGCCATTCACTGTCTAGTACCCAGCCCCATCCTCTCTGCCTCACCCCTGCCCTCCCAGTGTCTGGAGACAGCTGATTCAAACAGCTCAACTTCTCTCAATAAATACTTACTGAATGAAAGTAATGCATGAGCAAGTTGGCCATGGATTCTGGGGTTGCTAATCTCCAGACAAGCTGACCCTTTATAAATTCCCTTCCAACTAGGACACTATGTTTGATCTGTTTGAACTGGCTTCTCTGGAAGACACTTGAATTAGACACTTGAACAAAACTCTAAAGAAAAAAAAAAATTAAAGGAAATATCTTCACAGTGGTTTC